GGGACAGTCTTCCACCCTCACCTTGCAGCAGGAAGAGGAGTCCTCCCAGACCAGCCAGTCGGCCCTTCAGGGTGTAGTTGTCTCCGCCCACTTTGGTGCACTGCAGCCCCAGCATGGAGACCAAGGTGGCGCAGAAGCCCAGCACGATGGACGTGACCATCAGGGCTCGGGACACCTGGAGGTACCCTGCGGAACGAAGGAGGGAGTGAGTGACCTGACAGCGAGGGGAAGAGACCGATCACGTGAGTGAGGCCATGAATGAATGGGTAACAGATGGATATATACAGATGACAGAGCACACCAGTATCTCAGCAGCAAACACTATTTACCCCTCAAGTCTAGAATTTTGAATCCTCTTTCCATCCAGATACCTGTTAGCCCCTCAGGCCCCCACAGGGAATCTCAGTGACTTGCCTCTCCGATCAGCCACTGTATGGGTCACCACACATCACACCTGACATAAACCCTCGCTTGGAATGTTTCTTCAAGGCAGGGAGATTATAACCAGCTGCCCAAGATTTCGGGTCTTCCCAGAGCAGAAAACAATTCAAGAGCAAAACTGAACCCTACTAACACCTCGAGTGGGGATCTGCGTCAGCATGCATATGCGTATGCGCAAAGGAGCGGGTAAAGATTCATTCATGCTGCAAGGTCAAGAAAGGACGGCTGTGGAGTCTCTCTCAGGTGTCAACCACAAATTTTCCTTTTCTTTACCGTTCAGCATTACCTAGCGGTAATTGGCACATTAAGGGTTCCTTTGTCGACCTGAACTAGTGTGAGCAACTGGCTCACACTACCGGACTAGCGAGTGTGTTATTTCCTGGGTCCCAGGATGGTGAACCCCCAGGCGAACAGGCGCTTCTGCGAGAAGGGGGTGACGTCATGAAGGGGGCTATTTCCTGCTTCCACGTGACGTTTGTGTGTCATAATGAGCCTCTTCGGGAGACTCGAGGGGGATTCGCGCTGCGCAGTCGCCCTGTGCCCTGAGCCGTTCGGCGAACTAGTTAAACGATAAACCGCATTCGTCCCGGGTAATAAAATCGCCCACACCCGTAAGACAGGCATTTATTGGTTCTCAGAATGGTTTTCTGCGTATTCCCCTATAAAACATCCAAACCAGCCAATCAGCATTCGTAGAACATGCTGAAGAGTGCGCAGACTGGAACAATATTACCTTAAGAAACCCCAACTATCTTGGATATTTTTACAGCTCTGTTGCCTTAAAAGAGATCAGAATCGTATTGTTCAAAGGACAAAAACATCAAATATTGCGAATGTTTTCATACACCGGGAGTCCCGAAGGGAAATCCATCACGGTTTTCAAACGCAGCTTTACTCATAAATTCATAAAATACAAATACATCCTTTTTGATTATCTTCTTATCAAATGCTTCTCGGATAACAATCTGTTGTGTTATTACGCGCTCATGCTCATGGTACGGGATGACACGGGGCCGACACAGCTCGGCACCTCAATCCACCTGCACCCCTCAAATCGGCCACCCCACCCAACACATCGGGTGCATCATCGCGGGCCAGTGTGGGGGAAACCGGAACAGAAAAACATAAATGAAATTTTGTATCAAATTGTATCAAACTACAAAACCTCACTTTATATTCCAATATTCTTAATACCGTCTCAGTCCAATTTAATTAAAAGAGAAACAGGCTATTATCGTCGCTGCTTGTTGTTGTTTTTAAGAATAATGGTTTGAGCTGAAGCTCGTGTATATTGCGGTCATCTGGCAGAGAAGAGAATAAAAAAACCAAAACACCAAGAACACATTTCCAAACACGTCGGGTACTTCAGAAAACCGCCAACACGCACCCTTAACCAAGACAGTCGAGGACAAGTACAATTATTTATCTGTGCCTTACAGCTGAGGTTTTCATAGTTCTGGTGTATTTTGTGACCATTTTTAACCTTTGTAACCGAATATTTGTAACAAATATCGCTTTAAATAAATCAACCCCGCAAATAAAGCGATGCGTTATTCGTGTCCGCTTTCCGCTGATCGTTTCTCTCGCCGAAATTCGGAAACTGCAGTAGCTGATGGGTGATCCCCTCGTCTTTCCTGTGGGAAATTAACAGTTACTGCGTGTAGTTTTCTCCTCTTCCCTGTCAGATGAACGTAATACACGTCCTTCAACTCGAAACAGCCCTGTAACCATTTTCCTTTAACAAATCTAGCGTCGGCATTGACCTGTTTCTTTTTTTTTTTAATTGGGACTCAGAGAGTATTAAAAATGTTGGAATTCAAAGGCAGGTTTGTAGCTTGATACAATTTGATACAGATCTGTCATTTACACTTGTTTCTGGCTCAACAGCGGCCTGTGATAGTAATACAAGCTCACACGGGCCTGTGCGTACTCATCTCTGTAACAGAGACCGTAATACTGTCCGTACAGCGCGAGTACCGGAATTTGCCAAACTGCCTGGCGCTTGGCGTAGCGCCGATCTCCAGCTGGCGGATACCACCTCTAATCACGATGCCAATTAGCCGGGCAGTTCGCCATTAATGGGCATTGTTATGGCATTATTAGGTCGTTTTGCAACCAGCGCAAAACTGGCGAAGACGCGTTTCTAAAAATAAGTGCGGTATCACAATCCGGACAATGTTCTGTTCAATAAAGTCTAAATTTAACAGCAAAACCTCTGAGGATCTCGAACACCGCACTCGTCAGAATTTCAGGCTGCTCTGACAGCAACGCGACAAAAAAAACCAACAACATTCGCATTAGCAGAACAATATCCGAGGTCTTCATATTGTGTATTAAAAGCGAAACATCTAACCTGTTACCGAACAGGGCTTTTAGAAACTCAATTTTTAATAACGATTCCCTACATTTTTTAAGAACTACACATAAACGATATATCCGTTTTCAGGAAGAATTTCTTGCCTACAGTTTATTTTGCGTTCCAAAGCTCGGCGCAATTCGGAGGGGACACGATTCACCCCGTAATTTGCCTCCAGCTCTGTCACCCTGCAGTTTACGGCTGGCAGATCCCCCTGAAGCTCAGCAGGTTTGAGCCTGGCCGGTACCTGGATGGGAGACTCCTGGGAAAAACTAAGGTTGGTGCTGGAAGAGGTGTTAGTGGGGCCAGTAGGATCGCTCACCCTGCAGTCCATGCAGGTCCTAATGCCCCAGAATAGTGAGGGGGACACTATACTGTAAAAAAGAGACGTTCTTCAGATGATACGTAAAACCGACGTCCTTCCTCTCTGTGGTCATTAAAAATCCTAGTATGTTTCTCAAAAAGAGTAGGATTGTACCGCGGCGTCCTGGCCAAATTTCCAATTGGCTTGTACCAGTCATGGCTTAATAATCCCCATCTGTGAACTGGATCATCACTCTTTTCTCCTCCCCACCTATAGCGAGTGTGTGGTGAGAGTGCTGGTGCCGTCGTATCATCCAGGTGGGGCTGGTGGTGGAGGAGAGTTCCCATTACCTGTAAAGCGCTTTGAGTGGAGTGTCCAGAAAAGCGCTATACACGTGTAAGCAATTATTATTACTCTGTGACGCGCGGCACACATCTGGAGAGCTGAAAAACTGCTTCGCCATTTGAATAAAGAATGAATTTAGAACGGAATTTATCCAGGATATCCCTGTTCGTTCCGTGGGTGCCATGTTCAATGACCACGTAGTCAGGACCTCGTTTGAACTTCCCAACCGAAGGCCAACATCTACAGTGTCCCGGGTCACCATGCCGGGTCTAGTGGTTCTGATCCACCGGCTCCACTTACAGTAACAGCCTTTCTTTCCCGGGAAGTACCCCATCCCAGTACTGACCCTGTTCAGCCTCCGAGCTCTGGCGAGATCGGGCTACAGATCGGTGTGGTACCGCACACGTGCACGCGTTTTTTCGGTTCCGTGACTGTTGGATTTTCCTCGTCTTCAGAACTTGTTTAATTGGCTCAATTTTATTTCCCCGAGTTTCCTTTTGTGTACGTTTTAACTTTGATGTAGCCCAATTATTTGATCTTATTTTAAAAAATTACTTGAATTGTTTAAAAAGTGGAGTAGTGGATTTTGAGTGTCCGGGCGACAGTCGTTTGCGGCGCCCCTCGTTCTGACCTTTCGGTTACAGACAACTGAGAAGTTTGTGGAGAAGGAAGACCAGACCGAGCGGGGTACAGAAATTTGGGCTGAGAATTTAGGGAAGAACAGATTGGGTTTCCGTACGGTGACGTCGCGGCTTTAATTGCAACAAGTATGTGTCGCCTCAGGACAGCACAGACCACACACACATAAGAATAGGAATGAAGTCCCACTTTCCGCCTCGTCAAATCATCCAGCCTTCGCCGTGGAAGCAGGAGCTTTAATCGAATATTGAACACATAGCGCTGTTAAAGATGGAGCACTGTTTACTGGTGCAAGTAATTTTTCTAATCGTAACACCCTAAAGCTTCTTTATTATGGCCACAAACAGAGAAACCGAATAAAGAAGGCGTTTTTCATTTTAATGAAAGGGCATTACAGCTAGATCTGAGCACCTGCTGTACGGAAAGGAGAGCCGTCCCAGATAATTGAGGGAAAAATCCAATGACAAAAAAATCAATCATATTTTCCTTTTACAGTCCAAATTTTATAGAAAGATTATAGTAGTATAGATTTTAAAAACCACCGATTGTACAGCTGATAACGACAATTTTCTCTTTTGCACCTGCACGACGGGCGTTCACAAACAGAACTTCGCGTGTGCGCTGAAGTTACGGGAAATTTGCACATTTTAGTTTTGTACTTAACGCGCTATTTATCAGTCCCGCCATCCCGCATTTGCTATTTTCATTTACACGGTCTACAGAGAAGGCTGGCGTAGTGTTATGCACATCTTATTCTGTGTTTCTACATGTCTGCTACTAGTAATACTGTATTATTATTACACCGTAAATACTATGATTTTTGTATCCCGTTTTGATGCCCACGGGCACAGTTTCTTAGCTATGGAATTGCAGCTTTTGCAAATCCTCATTATTTCCACAGAACAGGGCCTCGAATTGATGATCTGAATTCTGGCACGGCGCTTGATTTTAAACCAGTTCTCACCGTCTGCCAGACTGGATGCGGGCGCACAGCGAGGTGCCCAAACCAGGGCCTTGATTAAGAACTGCCGAAACTGGATAAAAGAGCACTTTTCAACACGGGCCAGCAGCGCCAAGTGCCAGATCTGTCACAGATACACAGAATCTATTTAAGATGCCTACAGGCATTTTACTGGTTCAAGCGCCTCTCGGTATATATTCTGAGTATCTTATATATACACTGGCGGCTGAACTCCATATTCCAGTAATTACAGATTGCATTAACGCTATATATTACAAGGGCAGTCTCTAAGATCACCTTCAACAAATCTCCTCTCATCATTTTAAATTGATTTTCGTTTTAATTCAACTTTTTTTTTAACGCCGCCACGCGAGACCTGTACGCGCTGTACAGAGCTGTGTCAAGGCAAGATCATTGTTTCTTTTTTTTTACAGACAAACAAGCGCTCTTCAAACTGCTTGAACGGGACGGAAGCGATCTTTTCCCGACGCAACGACCAGCCTTGACGTTTCTCACGGCGCGAAGCGACCGCCGGTGTTGCAGCCCGTCTGCACACTCCGGGCGTGCGACCCGCGCTCCCACCCCCTCAGCCTGCTGGGAACTTATCTCGAAGGGGGTTTATGTGACATGCAAGCCAAAAAAACCGAGCCGGAATTCGGTATGAAGAGGAAGAAGAGCGAAAGTAACACCGGATAGGGCGAGCAGGGACGGGAACTCTCGGCAGTTGTGGATCCCGGAGGCGTCGGACGCGCAGGAGATCCACAGGTTCTCGTAGATGGTGGTGGTGGTGATCACGCTGCCCTCCAGAGTGGACTCCTTCCAGTAGCGGTTGGGCACCGCCACGCCGGCCATCACCCAGCCCAGGAACCCCAGGACAAAGGCCACCATTTCCGCTATATCATTCATGTGTGCGGCGCGGATCTCCCAAGCCCCTCGGCTCTCCTCTGGAGCGGTAGACGTCCCTCTCTCTGCGTCCTCTCTCTGTGAAGGCTTCGCGTCTCGCCGCTGGAGCGGTAATCCCCTAGCGCGGACAAACAGTAGCCTAATAACTTGTTTTGAGGACTGTGCTATCGATGATTTATTGCCGGATTTGCGATGCGAATTTATGCTGACCCGAGAAAACCGAGGTGAGCTGTATGGGTATATTGCGCTGCCAGTTAGTCTATCGCCTTGTCTGTAGCTGATAAGGGCAGAGTTACGCAGTTTATTAGGTGGGATAGAGCCACCCCCTTCTCCCCACACCTACAGTGCGCGGCTGTTAATATTCAATAACTCCAATGAGGAAACGCCCAATACGTTTTTTGGCTTTTTTGGGTTATCGGAATGCATGGACCCGCGGGTGCGTCTTTCATACCCCAGGAGGCAAGGTCAGCGTCTGAAAACGGAAGCCCATTCCCTTCACGCAAGGTACAGCCTAAGAGGGCTCTGGACATAAAAATCAATCCCTCGGCGAAAAGCGGGGTGAAGGTTCAGCAATCCCTCGGCTGGAGAGTCTGAAGGTCGATTAGCGCCAGGAGAAGCTCGGCGGTTCTCTCGTTCGAATTAACGCTTTAGTTCGCTTCGCTGGCAAGACACTTCTCTCAGTGCAAGACCGCGGCTACCCTCTCCTGTCCGTCGAAAACAAGTCGGGTGTGACTGTTCTTGGCCGAGGTAAGGATCCTTCAGCTGTCCTACCACACACGCCGCACAAAAGGCATTTCTGCCTCGAGAGTGATAATTAAAGATGTGATATTCAATTGAAAGCCCTCCAACACCGCGGGTGTTACCTTATATGACACGGTGGCTTCTGACCTTCCGTTCCATTTCATGTTCATCACTCCACCCCCTGTCGTGATATTTAACACGCACGTGTCGAAAATCAAACGGCCGATTGAAGCGCGACGCGGAATCGGGTGAAAAATATCCCGTGGGCCCGCGCCTCTGCCGCGGCTGCTCCACGGCTCGGGGCGCGCGGAGAGCTGACGGGGCACGTGCCAGATTCCGACAGATCCAGAGCTGCTTTCGGCACGCGCCGTGGGCAGGTCGTTTCGGCACGTGCCAGAACGTTGGCCACCACACACACCTACAAATAAACGCCCGTCGTGTACCGAGAGGAAGAAACCGCAGTGGTATCCTCTTAAGGGGAATCGTGCGACATGGGATCTTGTACTTGTGTAACTAATCTAAATTAAACGGGACTACGGGACTTTATGGGGGATTTTTTATTGGGGGGGTGTATATTGGTGACAGGTGTCCGTCAAACGTAGGAGAGCAATGTCCTGAATTCTGTGTAACGCTGCTCGATGGAAGGACATGGCAAGGCTACAGCTTTGGGCCCATCCACAGAAACGACACGCCGGGGAGTTTTTATTTTGTACCCTCAGGATGTCGCAACAGACGACTGCGGAGAGTCCAAGAACACGTCTGTCCTTGTCCCCGGGCGCTCCTGTCATCTTCAGAACCAGCGCTAACCAGCGCCAGCCGGTCAGAGGAGGTGCAGGAAGTGCTGCCACTGGGGATCGAAATGGGACGATCAGTCCGAAGACGTGTAGCAGACCTTGACTTCACAAACTCTCGTTAGCAAACCGGCCAAAATCCTGCGGAATGAAAATACCTCGATAGTTATTACATGCGCGGAACAGCTTCTTATCTAGGAATCTGTGAAACCGCCTTCTTAATAATCGTCCGTTATTATAGTAAATCTGAATACTTTCTTCAAAGTGTTTTATCAGTCCGTCAGCAAGCAAGGTGCACTATTAAAGAGCTACTCTTCAATACTAAACATGGTCGTTTTTTTGCAGAGAAAAATGAAATTGCGAGGCGGGTAACAGGCCACCATCTGCTCTGAAAACATGTCCGTGTTTGACAGGATGCCGCAAATCAAGAATTATTTTGCTGTCCGTGATTCTTATGACGAAATGAAGAGAAAGGTTTGGGTGTCTGAAAGCTACGGTGCTTTAAATAGCGGCCACAAAAGTATTTCAAGTGCTGGGTCGATCGAAAAAACATTCAGCTTGAGAAAAGACTGGCGGCGATTAAATAAATGATTACACTTAATTTCTTGGACGTTCAGTCGACAAAGACATCGCGTTAAACTCGGTCAGCAGTCCCCGTCCTGGAAAGCGCTGTGGCTGTAGGTTTTCACGTCCTATGGATCTATGGATCTGGATAAGTTGGTGTGTGTTGGTCCAATTAAGCCACTAACGATCTGATTCTAGTCGTTAAAAGCCCAACTCGAGTGAAAACCCGGAGACACACCGGCCCCCCAGGATCAGGATTTGGGGATTCTGGAATTAGTGTACCGGCTTACAAAGCGTGTTTAGAGATCAGCAAACCGCATGGAAAAGTGCGGTGTTTTTCTGCGGAAATTCAAACTGACTCCCGAGAGACCAGTAGGGTGCGCCATTTTTAATGACCGGGAAGAAATCATGTGAAGCTGCGATCCGGGCTCATAGCAACGTGCCCCCACGTGCAGCACCTCTCAATTAACAAAGCAGAAGTGAACGATTATCCCATTAGGTACTTAAAACAATAGTCAGTAATAATTAATGGTATTTAGACATCTATTTTTTAAGCCGGAGATGTGCATAACACATCTACCCCTATATTCCTGTGTCAACAGGACAGTATACCCCAGTATCCGATCTCTGCACACAGTTTTCCCTTTTCTGCAGTGTACTCCTTTTTTGCAAAATATCTATACAGGGCAATAAAACATTATAATCAAGCTATAAATATCTGATGGAAAATCTTACTGTGCTGGCATGGTTCCTGATACAGTTTTCATTTTCAGAGCGGAACTGTCCTGAAAAATACTGTACTGGGAAGAGTGGGGTCATCCCAGGACACTTTGTTTACAATCGGCCCTTTAACAGATGCACAAAGACAAGACTTACACACAGCCACAATACACAAACTAATCTAACACAGAGCCACACACACAAATATATCACTTACACACAGCTACAAATACACAGACTAATATTACACACAGCCCCACACACACACAGACTAATCTTACAGACAACCATACACACAAAGCCAAGACATACGCACAGACACACACAAAGACAGGACTAACACACAGCCACAATACACAAGCTGATACACAACCATGCACACAGACTCTTACACACAACCACACACACAAAGACATAGACACAGACACACACAAAGACAGGACTTACACACAGCCACACATAGACTAATCTTACACACAACCACACACAAAGACAACACTAACACACAGCTACAAGCATGCACATTAAATTTATATACAATCACACTCATAAAGATAAGACTTACACAGTATATGGTTACACACACTCACCCAACGCTAAGAGACATTCAAGACAATCACGAGTAGATTGTAAAAATAGCATTTATTTAAGAAACAATGCAGAATATCTAAAACAGCAACAATAAAATCAGAATGAATATAGCTCAGCACATAATCTGAAAGTTTCTCCAAAAACCAGCCTGCACACAGAGACCCTGGGACCTATCAAAAGTGCTTAAGTACAACTGTGTCATTATAAACATCAAAAGTCATGCTTTTGACAAGCCCTGAACAACATTACCACATCCTGCTGTGTTAGTGTATGCTCCTCTCTGTGCTCTGAGTTTTGTCTCATAAACTCTGTTCCTATCTCCCCAGTGCACTGCGCAAATTCTGCAACAGTTGAACAATAAGGCGTGTGCTCCCGGGTCTGGGGTAAGTGGGAGTCACAATGCCTGTCCTGTCCTTACGCCAGAAACTACAGAACCCTTCACTGGAATGTCCAGTGTGACGTTCCAGTTTGCAAGTGCTTCATTTTCCAAGATGCTTTCCTGGAGAGTCATCACGAATCCGCATCAGCATAAGACCTGCAGAATCTGCTAATGAGGATGCAATTAAGCAATTACTAAGTTTGATTGTGTAATTAAGGGGTCACTTGAGGTCAAGACTGGAAGACACATTGAGCCCTGAAGTCTGCTGGTGACCCCTTGTGTGAGATTGATGGGCAGGTTAGGATGGAGGTTGTTCTTACAGTGCTATTAAAAAGCTTATTGAAACTCCAGGCAGGTTAGCTTGTTATACATCACTGCGTAGGGATCTGAGGTTTATTTGGCAGTGCCAGGGCTGTCCTGCTCCAGTCCCAAAGAGCCTCGAACCAGCAGCTCACATAGAGTTCTATACAACTCCTGGAGAAATCCACTAACTCAAAAGTCAATAATGAGATCAATTGGGTCATTAAGAGCTTGGGTGGAAGGAAAGGCTGAAGACACTGCAGCCCTGTGGAACTGGAGCTGTGAGGCCCTGATCTACTTCCTTTCTCATTCACACAGACCGTCACGAGCACATCAGCACACGAGAAGGGCTACAAGGAGAAGAGGCAGTCTGGGCCACCTGCCAGGTCTGATCGCTCAGCAGACAGCCAATGGACCCCAAAATCAATGTTATGCTAACTGGGCCTTCGGCACTCAAGACGTTTCGCGAGTTGCCAAAAGGAATCGGACAAAGTCTTCAATCCCACTTAGGGACCAGGAGCTGGGGGCCGTCAAATGCTTGTCGAGCGCGGCTCGTATTCAGGAAGCCGCTGTGCACACAGAGGGTGCACTACCCACGTGTGGGAGCTCTGAGTCGCTGGAGGCGATGGTGATGTGTGTGTGGGGGGAGGAGGAGTGCTGAGATTCTAGAGGACTGCTGATGGGATTCTGGGATCACAGAGCTAAAGGGAACTATCTGATGACAATCGACAGAATGGCCTCTTCTCTCTCGGAGCCTTTCCTACATCCGAGAACCAAAAGTTTTAGGACATCCACCCCTACGCTCATGGTCCAGGGTTGTAGTTTACTCTGATTATTGCCTTTCTTTTCCATCTCAGCCACAAGTAAACGTGCTGGGAAGCAGGAAGAATGCAGTTGGTTTTTAGAGGCGTCGGCGCTGCTGTTCTGAGCCATCCAGAGCCATCCTGGGGTTCGGGGGTCCCTCCGATCTCTCCCGTCCCTCATTCACACATAGGCATTCCTGTCGTACTGGCTGGGGGCGTCTCGGTGGGCCGCTGACCCCGAAACCACCGTCCCCCTGTAGGGCTGGTAAGGGTATCCACTGCTCCCAGGAGAGAGAGGAGACAGAGAGAGCCTGAGTTAGTGCGAGAGGGAGACAGACACTGAGGCAGCTGGGGGGAGAGGAGACCAGGCGGGGAGCATAGAGAGAAAGAGAAGGGTCACTGCCGGACACACTGCTTGTCTCCCGCTGCCCAGAGATATGGGGGTTCAGTCTTATTAGCTGTTTGAAAGCTCATCCTTCCACAATCCCTGCATTTGAGCTCATATGCAAGGCTGGACGCTTCACGCATGTCCAGGCTAGACGGAGAAACCAGGCTGAAGAACTCACACTTTCTCCTCGGTTCCCATTTTGCAGGCAAAGAGCAGGCAGACGCCCCCACAGATCGCCAGCATGGCAGAACTCCACCCGATGTACAGGCCATCGCCGATCTCGTACCTGAAAACACAGAGGCGCGTCACACGTTAGAGCAGGTGCCTTCGGTTCTGTGCTGGCGGGAGATATGGCACTTGCACCCCGGTACCAGGAGATGGCAGCATTGGACCGTAAAAATATGTTCATACAGGCGCTTGCGGATGGGCGTCGGCCAGATTTTGCTCAGTTTGAGCATTCGATGAGGAAATTATTTGATTTGATTGTGATTATTATGAAATCCATGTGTAACCAATAATGAAAAAATCAGACATGCTTTTTTCCCCCAGTCCCGAACCTGTGAGATATTTTAAACAGAAATATTTTAATTTAATTGAAAATCGATCCATTATATGGTGGAAAATGTCAAATTAATTGAACCACTAAATTAAAGTCTCAATGTACATGAAGGGATCGATAAAGTCACTGGGTTATGGGTTATTACTCTCTCAAGAGGCACAGACTGCCTCCCCTGGGTCTGTAAATGTCGTTTCCCACAGGGAGCAGCTCTAGACCAAATTCCCTGCTACTACTTGGTCTGGAACAGAAGTATTGAACTTGAATCTGATGGTTAATGACACTCTTTTTCTTTTCCCTTTTCAGTTCTTCATATTTCCAAAAATTACTTGCATAACAGCTGTCACCACTGATGTCCCCATGATGTTTCTTGCGGTCAGACTCACTTTGTCCCGGGATAAAATGGGTCAAAGAACTCCTGCGTGATGTTGAAGGCGTACCAGGATACAGAGATCATGGTGCAGAGACCTGGGGACAGACACAGGGCTGTTATTAACACTGCCAGGGGACAGACACAGGGCTGTTATTAACACTGCCAGGGGACAGACACAGGGCTGTTATTAACACTGCCCGCAGACAGACACAGGGCTGTTATTAACACT